CAAATGAGCTTTGAGTACTTTATACACTTCTTTTTCTAGGTTATGCGACTTATTTCAGACTTAATAACATCTTAAAAGAGAAATTCTTTCGCCCGAACTGAAATTATTACACTCATTTATTAATAGAATTGCGCATTTGCAGTCAGTTAAAGTCGTGATACTGGAAGCTGAGTGTAAAAAATGACTCAAAAGTCAAACACATCATCAATTTTCCCTCTTCTGAGACTTCTGAGAAGTGTTATGGATTCTTCATAGGAATAGTGGAAGTGTTGAACAGTACTTTTTCACCGTCGAACCTCTCAAATCACTATCGCGCATCTATTTATTATAGTTTGACGGTTAAATTCCAAATGGTCGTGTTGGGCGCCATGAGAGAAAGAGTGAGAAAAAGGGGGTCAATGAAATTCTGGCTAAACTGGTGGCGGTTCCAAAGAGTTGGAAAAGTGAGGGAAAGAGCCACACACAGCTGTATGAATTTTTAATACCCTCCGCGCGCGCATTTTTATATTAAATTCCACACATTATGTGCCATTCAATTGTTTATTGTGCGTAATGCCTGGTTGAAAAAAGTGCTGAAGAAACATTATTTTTAGCCAGCCAAAGAGAGATTTTCCTTCACGCCACAGAACTTTTGCACAAGACGAGAATTGCGAAAGGCTCGCGGTGATTTTCCTGTCGGCGCATGAACACAGTGGAAAAGCGCTCTCGCGCGCTCTGAACGGATAAACATGCCGGGAAGTGTTGTTGGAAGAAAAAACGGTGGAGATATGGCTAGCAAGTGAATTAATTTGGTGGCTTTTAGCAATCACCCAGTTGGGTGAATTAATCGAATTGGAAAATTGCGCAAAGTGGAATTTCGAATGGATTTAGTGCTGGAACGAATGCATGATCGTGAAATAAGAAGACTGCGCCGTGTTGGAAAAAAAAGCGCGAGCGCACGAGAGACAAAATATCCAATTTTTTGGCTCACCTACGCCATACAGCTATTAAATTCAAAAGGCATAATACAGAAAGAGCGAAAAACACCCAGCTAAATAGTGCAAACATCGGCGGTGGTTGGAAAAACACCATTGCCAACGCCACAGAGTGTAGAATTCTGCAGCAAAAGGCATACAAGAGAGTGGGCAATTGCGCGAGTTGAACTCTCGAAGGCAAAAAGTGCCTTCTATCTGGGTATATAAGAGAGTCGGGGGATTATGAAATAGGTATGCGAAAATGCAATAATAAACCGACACAAATGCTCTTTTCCAATTTACATTCCAGATTTCTTGTGTGCAATACACATTCACTTTGGGCGGCATAAGAATCGACTCATGCTGCTGACGAGGTGAAAAGAAATTCACTCTTACTCTCAATTGTGCCCAAAACACACATTTCCCATCTCGCATGCAATCGATGGTCTTTTCTCTTCGACGGATGGCAAGCGTCCAAGAGATTCAAGACAATTCTTTCTCCTCCAGACGAGCGCAACAGTTTGCCAGGCACTCTGAAGAATTTCAAGGCGCAAGTTCTTCTCAAATTGTCGTTGGCTTTCTGTTTCCTTCAAGAAAGGTTGCACAGCAGATGAAACATTGCGCAATACACTGACATTTTTCCCATATTCCGAGCCACGAAAGTTCTCTCCAGATATCTATCGCAATTAAATCAGTTTTGTTTGATTGAAATTTGGTTGCATTGGAAGGCTTGTCTGAGTGTCTTGAGGCAATTTTTCGGTGGAATTGCAAAACATGGGAGTTTCAGAGAGGCCGCCGCATGAGATCGCATCCTCAGATATCTCATTGAATCAGTTCAATGATTTAGAAGAGATAGTCTTTCAGTGTTTCACTGTTGGAATTAACACTCACTCTCACTTCAAGTCAATCAATCACCAGGCATTTACCAGACCTGCCTAACAATGAAGAGAATCTCGCATTACTCATGTTACACGGTGCTCTCGTGTCACAAACGATGGTCAATTAATACGGTTAATATTCGGTTTCCATCGGGGATATTTCATTGAGCGCATTAGGAAATTGCATGACAATCTCGGTCCTTGCAAATCCACCCATAACTATCCTCAGAGCCACATTCGCCAATTACCACAGCGCCTCAAACTCAATTGCAAGTATCGCAAAAGTCATGAAATGTGTGGCGATTTGCGATGGAAAAGTGCTACGTGCCGAAAATTCCACAATATGCGCATCGCGGAGAACGCAAAAATAAATCACACTAAAATTAATGACAACCAGCTAATTAATTAAAATTATCACCATTGTTATATCACAGTGTGACACACACACTCGTCGTGACGCGATGGTCATTTTTCCCTGATCACGAGGGAGCCACGAAGAAAGAGCGCGAGATTTTGCGCCACTTCCTCAGCTCTTCGCGCGCGCGGAGAGTCGCGGAGGAATTTTCCGCGCGGAGGCGGCGATGGAAAAAAGAGAAAAGTGCTGGTGAAATAGTGGGAAAATTGCATGGTAGACGCGCGGTTTGAGAATGGAAAAGCACACAAGGCTGTGCGCGGGGAGGGAAAAATTCCGATGTGCACAAATGTCAATTTCACAATTGACGCAATTCATTTACCTCCTCCTCCTCCTCGTGCACGGCACGGTAAATAAGACTGTGCATATACTTCACAAAATACAATTTTCCATCGTACTCGCCTATCATCGCAAATCGCCAGCGCGAGTGTGTGTTAGAGCAGAAGAATAGAGGAAAAAAAATCACCACACTTTTTTATACACTTCTCAACCCGAATCTCTTTCCACCACAACATTTGTCGCTATCGCGGGTGAGTTTTATCACATGAAACTGCTGTAATTCTGTTACTCAATACCAGCAGCACATCTCGTCCAAGTGGAAGAGAGATGGGGAGAGAGAGAGAATAAATTGCTAAATTAAATTATCGTTGAATCATGAATGTGTGGCTTTTTTTCGGTGCGCGGCCAAGGCGTCTTTTCACCGAGAACTTGGACAGAAAGTTCACACAATGCCACCGCGGAGGAAGTGACAAAAAAATTGCAATATGTTAATGCTATTCGCACTGCGAGAGTTCAATAATATCTAAGGTCAAGCATATCAAATGATTTGCAATATGCCTGGGACAGGAATAGAATGGATGAGAAGCGCGGTGAAAATCGCATTGTGAACTTCAGCCGTTGCAAGGTGGGGGGCATTTATCGCGCAGAAGAATTACTATTTGAATATGATTAGTCGTGGAATTTCGCAATTTTGAGAAAATTGTGGCAAAACTGCATGCGAAATATGACATTCATCGCTCTAACACATGACAAACAACCCCTCGCAAAGTGCTAGAAGTAGAAGTGTTCGGATGTTTGCAAATATATTTCATTTAAAAGCTTTCCTGAGCCTTCCTTCGATTACTTAAGGCACGAATTACACTTGTTTTCTGGGTTATGTGACTGATTTCAATCAAATCTTATTATTCTCGTCTGTCATTTCGATACTTTTCTTTTACTGGCAAATTTACTGACAAATCATTAAGGATTCATCAGATATTTAACAGGAATTTTTAAAGATTTCCTTGTTTTTTGAGGGTATGGACGAAAAGGCCACTCAAAAGAATAATTTAAAACATATTATTCACAAAAATATCTTCTGGGATCTTCAAAAAGAGCTGAAATCTTCAGACATTCTGCGTATGCAAATCATGCCAGAGATTCTAACCAATTGCCGTCCCTTTGCCTTCGAGCGATACGCGAGGACGCGGCCAGACTTCCCTGAGAAGATTTCGAGGCGATCACACCGTTTCGCGCAGTGTATCGCGCGCCTAAGAATAAAAATCGCACTGTGCTGAGGTGTGAAAGAGTGTGGCAAAAAAATGCTGAATGGTGGGCAAATATGAAGTGTCCCCGCGAGAGTGGGTGACGAGGAATCCTCACTATTTTTCCTCTGCACTATTGCCCGCCGCAATGTGTTCTGAGTTTTGGGCGACGCTTCGCAGTCGCGAAGAGGGCGATGTTGGGACTAATTATAGCTGAGACTTGCCTATAAATATCACGAGAATTTATTGTTTTTCTTCACAAGCGCGCACACACTCTGCTGATGATCTTGACTGGGTTTTCAAACATTCTCGCGCTTCATTATACATTTTAAAGGTTTTCCTGGCTCACCCAGCGCGCGCCCACCCCTTCCGCAACCACCGGACGACACGGTGGCGCCCCGAAAGAATTGTCGCTCTTGCGCGCTCTCACACGGATTCCCCGCGATGTGAGATTGTGAACTACATATCGCGCCCCAATCGAAATCTTCAAATCCAATTGCTTGATCGGTGGAACAAATTTAATTTCTCTTCTTAAAATATTTCTCCTCCTCGTCGGCCAACAATTAACTCGCTTTTTGTTGCCTCTCTTCTCACAAATACCATTCACATTAACACGTTTGAAATATCTCTGCGCAATATTTAAAGAGTGTGGCTGCGGGAGGGAATTATTCACGCAATGCAGAGATGAGGCAAAACCTTTCACTCCACAGCATACGGAACAATTTCCAGAGATTCACAGACTAGAATTTGCCAAAAACCCCATCAATTATCACGGCAAAGTGTTGTGCCAAAGTACAGGAAAGGCTCGTGTTTTCAACGCAAGCACCGAAGTTTCTAGGCTCAACCAGAATAGTGCATTGCACCTTAATCGATATTATCTAAGAATATGCAGTGCACTTTGTCCTCATGTGCCACTAAAATGCATCACAATTCACAGTCATGGAAATGAACGCCTGATTTAAATTCTACCTGCTTGTGAAATTGCTGAATGCCCACAAAAATCCAGGGTGAACTTTCACTGCTAAAGCCCGTAATTTGATCACACGGAGCGCCATGTGAAAGTCTCCCTGGATGGTGGCATTTTCGAACCATCTGGAACGTTCAGAACGGTTCATTCGAGAGACCATATTTGATGATAACAAAGTGATTAAGTCTCGAGCACAATTGCGCGCACACTGTCAAATTGAATTACCACTCATTTTGCCACAGAGAGGAAAGAAAAGTTGAGGCTCACCTTCTCATTGTAGGGATTTATCCAGGCTGATATCATGAAATCTATGTTTCTGTGTCCGCCGCTCTAGACAGAAAAGGACGATGCGCTGACCAATTGGATTTGGCGGGCCAATTGGGCAAGGAGCAGGGCAGCAGCACTGGGGTCGATTGGAATGCGAAATAAGATGCGAAAAGATCTCTCTTCCTCGGCAGGCGCGTGTGTGTGATCCAAATGTTACTTGATCATTAAGGATAAATCACTTTTGTTTCTGTTCCAACGCGCGTAACTCCAGAATTGAAGGAAACTTCAAAAAATGAACAACTTTGCACACTCGCACTTCAAGATTTTCTCTCTCTCGAATTGTGGGCTTGCGGAGCTCGTGATCCAGAGAGACTGTTTGAAACGGCCAAAAATAGTATTGTGTAATGATTATTTATCAACCGTTGTCAGGCAAAGACTCTACCAGAGAATTTTTGGACAGAAATAAAGCGCTGGTTACGTCGAAGCGACTTTTTGCTTGTCCGTCTCGATTTCCAAAATTGCAAATTTCTTGGCCAGCAGAAGGAAAACAGGACAGAATATCAGTGTATATCACAATTAGAATGGATTCTCCGGATTTAAGCACAGGTTTTTTCCTCTTCACTGAACGTCTCTCGACTGATGGGAAGAGTATCACTGAATTTATATGTGCAGATTGTGGGTCTGGATGGCCCACAATTCACCACCGAATCTGCTTTTTGGGAGGCTTTTCTGATACCAAACTCTCAATTGAAATGCGCGAGTCACCTTTGAAACTCGAGAAAATCGCGATTCGCGTAACTCGAGCACACAGCTTCGGTCTCTGTTTCGAAATAACCGAAAAAATGCCAGAGAGAAAACTCGGTGCAGTTTTCAGGATCTCCTCTCGTCTCGGCTGAATTCCTGTTCTTGTCTGTGCAGAAGGATCCTGTTGTACAATTTTGGCAAGCGCCTATTCAAAGTGACTACAAAAGTACAATCTCTTCTCGCTTTATGTCGACACGCTTCCAATTTTAGCTGCGAACACGGCCACACTCACTGAGCGACTGACAATGTTGGAAAACATATTTAGTAGCAGAGTCACAATGGGAATTTTCCTCTGTGGTGGTTAAGCATCGCTGTCGCTCTCGCTCACCACTCTCTATCTCGCTCGCGCCAATGGAAAAAGCCCGAGAAGCACACACACACGCCTCGTCGACACACACACACACAGCGCAATCTTAATTCAGCGGCGGATTGAGTAAAAAGTTCCACATAAAAATACCCACTCTTCAGTATAGCAACTCGCGGCTTGTTGCTGTGCCTCTGCGATGTGTGCGAGCACAAAGTGAAGGCACAGCCTCATCAGCAGAACCACTTGCACTGATGCAGCCAGATCGATGGACCGTCTTTGCTGCTCTCGCGAGCAAAACCCCCCGCGAAAGATCTTCCATATGGAAGCATACAAATCACGCTGTGATATGGCAAAAGCTCCTCGCACGCACACACACAGGCACGCCTAAAAGCTCCGCTTGTTGCTCGAGCGCTCAAAAGCATTCCACTGATGCCGAGGAAATGATCATGCGCACGATGACTGTCCGCGAGGTGAATTGTATATGCAACGTTCAACGGCATCTTCGTCACCGCGGCTGTCCAGCTGGAAGGAGTGTATTTGCATATAAATTGGAAAAATTCGCAAAATTATCCATCAATGCGACCATCAGAGGCGCTAGATGTTCGCATCTCGTCGCGTTGTGCGCTCGCGGAGAGATAAGGGCTGAAAAAGTGGTCCCAAAAGGGAAGAAAGCTCCGCGCATGGCTGACATTTAGACTTCCACCCTTCTGGGCCATTCAAATGATGCCTCAATGGAGGCGACAATTCGGCAGAGCGTTGCTCATGACGGGCCATGAATGGGGATCACCGGATTCAGTAGAGGCAGGAAGAGAGAGAGGGAGCGAGATAAGATTGAATTCAGATAATCCCTCAAACTGAGGTAAATACGAGCTTCAAAGGAAATCTCTCGACTTTGAAGACCTCGTTAATTGTTTGATAAATGCAAACAGATTTAGAATCAGGTGAATAAAAAGGATGGTTTTTCGAGTATCTTCCGAAAGAAGTTAAACATTTTTCTTTTATACCCATAAAATGTGCACTAAAAACCTCAAATTTTCCATGTATTTTATATGAAAAGAATTCACTGTTTGTCGAATGACTCACGAGAGTCAGTTAATATCTCGCTTTAACTACCAGAATGATCTTGACAAATATTCCATTATTACGTAAAACTTGAGTATTTTCCCTACTTCCTGTTTATTTGGCTTTCTCTCAGTGTTTCCTTCGCCCGGAAATTTCCTCAGTCAGCCATAAACGAGAGAATTTTCTATCCGTGGGCGTTGTTCAGCACAAGTGCCATCAGAAGAACCCTTAGAACTGATTTGACACCTTCTCTCCTATGCGAAAAGGGAGTCTTTTGCGAGACCCAGAAGAATTCCACCATCGTCAATAATGACTTATGGGATTAACATAATTTTTTCCTCCAGATTGCGTCACCGAAAAAGGATTGTTCAGTGCGGTAAATCCATTCATTCCATTAGGATCACTCTGCCCTCGATTCCGTCCAGGATGTTGAATGGAAGACGTTCGCTCGAGAGTGTGAGGAAATATTTCAGTCCTTTCGGAAATTCCCACCCACGCGCCATTCTGCCAAGGAAAAGCGCGCGGGGAAGCTCACCGAGAAGTGGAACACTGACTGTCACTGTTTCCAGTGTTGTGCAGAAGATGTGTGCAGAAAATTCACCTCGCACTCTGGTCACATCGTGTATTTACAGTCTTCTGAAAATATTTTCATTGGCAAACACTTCAAGCGTGATTTGCGAAGATTCTGCATAAACATGAATTTATCTCATGAATTGACACACAAAATGATAAGATGAGGGAGTCTTCATTATATCTCTCCACATCCATGAGACCATAAATTGATGTGTGTCCCAATTTCCCTCGGCGCAGCATTATTGAATTTCCCTCTTGAGAGATAAAACTCCGTCGCGCACACTTTTCCATATGGCAATTAATATGGTGTATGGTGTCGAAAAAATAGGTTTCATCGGTCAGAGATGCATGGCATCGAGCAAATTGGGGTAAAAATGTGTCACGATTATATACAAGCCAATAATGTGTGTAATCTTTTGCAGTAAAGTGGCAAAATAAATTAAATCTCACCCACTTTCGTTGCCATGTCTGAGCGTGTAGATAAGATCCAGGGCAAATACACCAAGAAAGGAAATAAAGTGTGGCGCTATAATTCAATTTAGCACTATCGGGGAATTTATGCCTCATGAGAGCCAACACATGAGGGCACAAATGCGGAAGCTGCAAGCTCCAGCACTCCCAGTGGACTTGTCTCGCAGCAACACTAAATGAGGATGGCTCATGGCAGAAATCCTGGCCATTTCCCCATCGCACACTAGACAAATTAATGCAGCGAAGAGACCGATGTCGACCTGCCCCTATTGATTACCGCCGCACGGAAAAACCCACATTCACCCTTGCAACTTGTTGCACCCACTTTCATTCATGTTTGGCGAGCTTTTGTCGCATGATAGCTGGAAAAGCACCATAAAGCGGGGCAAGAGAAGGGATTATGGTTAGAGTTTGTACACAGCAGAGTCTCTGTTTGATGATAGCATAGAGAAATAAAGGATTCTCCCTCATAGTTCAGTTAAAGAGGGTTAAAAGACAAGCTTTTAAGCAAGAAATATTGTAAAATTCCAGTACTTCTTAATACTTCTGCCTATTTGCACTCCACTTCTCACCATAGCATCTGATGTCCCTTGAAAGAAGCTCGACAGAGCCACAGAAAATTTCAGGACCTTGGGAGCCATCAATCAGGGTGAAATATGGACAATCGCCTGAATTATTCATGCCACCAAGATGGGTCTTTTCATTTTGAGTTTATTAAAGCAACAAAATTACATGAAAACTTTATGAGCTGGTCGGAATTTTCCCGATGGTCACGGAAAGACCTTTCTTTCTGCACCGTTTTATCGCTTTCCCCAGAATTTGCTCCCGTATTTCGCAATACTAGATATCTCAAATAATGTACTTGTCGTGCTTGTGGCGAAATGAAAGCGGAAATAGTATCTGATAAGCACTTATCAACGTATTCGGTCACAGTGGGCGTCATGCAGAAAAAGGTCGCACATGCAAGTGGGGAAAAATAGTCTGCAAACAAGTGAGGGAAAAAAGAGATTCAATTCCCTGGGAAATTGCATGAAAAGAGAGCAAAACGTCGCTTGTGATCTGATGAAAATTAAACTCTTCACTCTGTATTATCTTCACATCTCTCTCCCTGTCACTCCCGTAAACATTATTAATGCATAAATAATTAACGTGACATTGTAATGGCATTTCATGCATACTTAATGGACTTTGGGATCCTGTTGCAGAACTAATAAACACACCAATCGCGGATCGAAAATTCATGTTCACCATTTTTCGCGAGGATTTTCCTCTCAAATCTCTGCGCCTGTCACTAAAAAAAAGGGGACGCCGAAAAGCGCGTTGGTGGACAGTAGAAAGTGCTGTTTTCTCCACAAATTTTGCAATAAAAAGGACGTATTTCGCAAAAATTGCGTCTCTTATTCATGCCCCCGCACATAAACATAGCGGACAGTCGTTTCGATTTACGAGGGGAATTTTATTTCCATTTCCCGCGGGAAAAGGGTCATATTTTGCGAGTGGTCTCATGTCTGAGGCTTAGGGTGAGCTTTAAGCTCTCGCAGTGCATTTACGCCCGCGAGTGAAATTCCCCTTCCATCCAGTTGTACTCTATGTTATTCCTGTATATTTATGAGGCTGAGAAACCTTCTCCGTGTGGAAATGATAATGCCTTCATTCATTTTCATGTCTTCATTCCGCATCGCTTTCTTGGGAAGTTTCGATTAAAAGATATCACACAACTTTGAGGGATTTCAGAAGATTGCAGATAAATGCTTTAAGAGAAATTGTCAGCATTCTAAGAAATTCACTTACAAGTAATCTGAGGATCTGGAAAACATTCTTCTCATTATGGCATTTGAGTAAAAGTATTTGCCATTGCGCAATGTATAACTAAAGAATATAATAGATGAATAGCGAATAAGTCTTTTTACGACTGTCTTTTGACGTCGAAAACTTCGTGTCCTATTTATGAACATCTTGTCCTGAATTTCTTTGTATTTGGAGCATAATTTTGAAATGGGTTGCGAAATAAATTCATCGAAAAAACATCCCTTAAACCTCAACAAGCAGCGGAAAAATATGCACATAAAATTAGTAGTTATTCAGTTGCAAAATCCACGACATTTGCTCAGCAAATAAAACTTAATATTGGTATATTTTTATAAATATTAATATAGTTTATTCACCTTCGAAATGATGTAACATCAATAAAATGTCAATGCACCGTTTCTTAGAAATGAAAAACACCACTCAGCGTATGTAATTACTCAGGTTTACACATTATGTCACACACGAAAAACAAACATTTCCAGCGCCCGACGCTTTAAGCTCTCTGCGTATTTCGATCTTGAACCTTAACATCTGATACGTTGTGCAACTCGAGAAATGAAAGCTTTTCACAGTTGTGCGATTCTAAGCACTGATGAGCGACATCGACCACTTAGCAAACGACAAACATGAGAGCCATAAACAGAGGGAAAATTTCCGTACGCAATTTCCCGTCATTTCACCCTGGCGAAGCCTCCTCTCGGCTTCTTAGCGTGTCGACCGGAGATGGCTGAGCAAATATGCTCGGCGTCCCTGGCGAAGGAGGATTAAAGTTTCCACCCTCGAAGGCCTTCGCTTGGGGACTTTTGAGAAATCTCGATGTGAATTAAAATTGGCTTATTTTGGAAAATTTATTGCATATCGACCCACGATGTGACCCTGTATTGCTAAGGATATTAAAAGATCCCTTCTTAGCAAAGCAAATACTCTACTTCTGAGTGGGAGGAAAATGTGTGTATTTATGTTTCACAGGCTTTCTTCCTCTGTCTCTTCTCCCAGCGAAAGGTAGGTCGCAGTGATTTTACGACTGACTGCCGAAATGCCTTCGACCAAGGAGGAGATATTGTAGTGTGAATCTCAACGGAATGTATAAGGAATGT